GCATATCATTTGTCTAGGTTATTCTCAGGACACGGATACTAATAAAGCCCTAGTGATAATGCGTGAACTATAAGTTGCGGAAAGCACTCAGAGAAATTCATTACGATGATTTTCAACCAGGTGTGTCAATCATTTATTGTTATTTTGCGGTCCAATTTTCATAAGATCATATCACAACTCGATGTTCGCCAGAGAGAAAAACTAAAGATTGAAGTTGCAATAACAAGCTCGGCATAGTTTGCTCTTGCGATCAGATTATGAACTCAAACAATGTGACTTCTTCAAAACGGTATTATTTTCAAAGCACCTGGCCACTGCGAATAAAAGACCTCACTTTAGGGAATTCACATTATTGTGGGGTTAAATCCTAGCCATTTGCGCTGTTTTATCGTTTCCTTTGGTAGAGAAAAATTGGAAAAGTGATTTGAAACACTTAAGAGCAGCAATTATTGTTGTCAGTTAATGCAGCCGATTGATCCAAGACGTGAGATGTTCTATTTTATCACTCCTGGGATTCGGACATTCCGGCTTCTCGCTACTGCCAACGTGGTATCACCTCTTGTGGAGTTCCGAACAATCAATTAGAAATAGAAATAGAGATATATTAGATTATCTTCTTTTGGTTATACTATACTAATATAATATATACTAATATGCAAATAGGAATAGGCTATACGGTAAAGAACTGGTAAACATTACTTCAACTGACTACTGATTTTCATCGAAATAGTCAGTTGCGAAATATAGTTCTCATGCAACTCGGAAGGTTCTAAAATGCATTTCTCCCTCTCCAGAACTATACAAATGAAACACTTGACTACGTCCGTGAGCGTCGGAAACCAGACAGGGATGTAAGCGGAGGATTGTTGAAAAGCTGCTCGAGATATTATTCCCAAGAACGTTCTGTCAATATTTCGTAATTTACTACACTTGGGACAGTGCAGCCACAATTATCCGTAGATGTACTTTTCTACCCTGAAATTCTGAAACAGAAACCTTTTCAGTCATGTTTATCAACCTTATCTTCGTTGGCAAAATATAGTAGTACATGCTGAGAAATTCGTTGCTTTCTGACAAACTTATGATCGATACAAAAAAGAGCTCAATTAAAGTGGTACACATGCCTAAGGGATGTGTTTAAGTTGTTTATTCAGTTCATTCTGGCAGCACATTAACACAATGTGAAATGCCACGATCCAATAATAGAAGGTAAAATCACCATTTAAAACATGTCAATCTATTACAGGAAGTTTGGGCACCAATGTGAATGACTTATTTGCCTTTCTTGGAATTTTGGATCACTTTTTTGTGATGGAACTCTTCCGTCGTGAATAAGACAAAATAACATAAACGATGTAATCTGAACAGTGCTATCTACTTGAGTTGATTAATTCATATTCCGTTTTTTTACCGATGAGTTTTACCATATTCTCCGTGTTATTGATCCACCGCCTTCACACACGGTTGCCTACAACCATCGGTATTTGAGTGTCTCATTGATGTGGATCTTCCCCGTTTGCAAGCTCGCTGTGGTTCTCGCACTTCCTTAACCTTTGCACTAGCTTCCAGGGTTATGACTCGGCGGTCGAGTGTGTAGTATGTTTACCTCCGCCTGTGAGGTACCGGGTTCAAGCATCGGTAAATTTGTAATGCTGATGAGACCCAACTAAGTCTAAATTGATCTGCAAAGCTTTCGTTTTCTGTGTACACAACGAACTTCATTATATAAGGGAATCAAATCTTCCGCCGCTCCCATGATACGCATCTTGTAAATTTACAGGTCTAATCGAAAGAGAAGCAGTGAATCTCTATGAAACAATTGTGGGTTCGTATACGCAACAGCATTTATACTAGAGTTAATTTTTTTCCCAATTTATAATAAACAAGCCTTGGTGAGTCTTTGTAGCATTGATTTTCCTGATTCGTTTATATTCAGCAGATTGAATGGTTCAGAATGTAGCGGATACTCCCATTTCGTCAGTATTGGTTGACCTAGACTATGATGAGTTAAGAGCTAACTGAAAGAGAAAGGAACAGTTTTTATTTACAACAAATTAACATTGGTAATAAGTAAGATGTAAAGTTTGTGTACACTAATATTTGATTGATCTGCCTTTGTTCTTTAGGACTTTTTCGAGTCTCTTTGGCATTGAACCCACCAACTCTGTTATGAAGTCATTTTCTATTTTGAGCTCCATTACGTAGTGCACGTTTACCTCCAATGTTCAATGTATAGGTAGCCCATTGACATCTCTCTTCAAAACAGAAAGCAGATTTTTAATCACATTGAGATCCGGGCTAATAGGAGGAAGTTGCATAAACTGGACCCTAGAGTCACGCATCTTTTCTGAAGTATAAAAGCAAATAATAAGTGAACCAGACTCCTTAACTAAATAAATCTACAACCATCTCCTGAAACATGACATGGAGCGTTATCCTGAAAAACGATAACTTTTCCAGACTACTGTTTCTCATAGAATTCTGAAAAAACTTGTCATCACTGCTACAGATTTTTTACTATTCATGGTGCTTTTGATTGATGTCCACCGACAAGGCTGACCATGTTTTATCCCTGCCCAGATGAGTAATCTCGACAAGTGAGAAACTCTTTCATTTGGTGGAATAATTCCTTTTGGGAAATTCTTATCACAAATAACTTTTTTGTGAGCCTTCCAAGGCTCGTCGCACACTATGCACTCGTCGGCGAAATAAACCGATCGCCAAAATGAGGCACGTTGAGAGTTGAATTTTCGGGCAAAATGAATACGAGCCAGCCTTTGCTGCGCATTCAATGCTGGCTTCACGTCAGCCGAAACTTGCAGCATTTTAAATGTCTTCATTCTTCTTTGCAGAAGGGAGTATGAATGGTGAGGAAGATCTCATGGAATAAACGATAACGATTTTCTGCCATGTTTTTTTTAAGATTAATACTAATTAGGTTGTCCTCCTGTTTGGATGTACTCCGTTTACAGCCTCCACAAGCTGTTCTGGTTGTTGTTTTCCCATGGATTATCCTGTAAATTGTGCTTTTGTTAACGTTAAAGCATTGAGCAAAATGTGATATGGAAAATCACAGCTTATTTGCTCGTGCTATTCTACCTCTGTCCTCTTCACCGAGATAGCGAGAACTTTTGGTTTTGAGCGCTGCTTTGTGACAACAATACGAACATTCAAAGCTGTGCACAAAAATGACCCTGATTTCAAAGTTGGCTTTGATTGGAATTCAGTGAGTTAGATATCAAACAGCTTATTATTATGAACCCTTATTTAATGTAATTTCCTCGGGTTGTGAAAGAATTTCATTTGGTTGTTCCATAGAGTTGCTATAATGGATTATATGTCGGATAAAAAAATGTCTCATAACAAACAAGCGAGGTGGCAACGGTTTATGGAAGTAATTTGGGATAACTCTTAAGTCATTCCTATTAGAATATATTGCGTTGCCATAGTTGATAAAGTTTTCGGTTTTCATGTTGAGATCATCTAGTCTTGGTAGCCAAGGTCAGGCACGTTTAACTGACACTTATGCAGACTGGAAACTACGTAGATCGAAGTAGACAACATATAAATTATTGTCAAAGCCTAAAGTATTATTATAGGTGATAAATATAATGAAATTCAATTTTATCATAAAGAAAATATTTTAGTGCATCACAATCGGCCAGTACCGTATACTTTGTTTTTTACTGCAGTAAAAGTCGACCCAGGGTAAAAAGTTTTATCCCCCAGTTATCATACATCTGTTAGCAAGGGAAGTGGAAGATCAAAGCCGATTTGCCAACCTTCAAGTTTAAAAGTAAAAGCAGATAAAATTTAGTCTGACAGCTTGCAGGCACAAATTGCGTGCCAAACGTGGACCTCTGTAATCATACGGTTGTAGATTTGAGAATACAAAATAATTCCATCAGGTTACTAGGGCCCTTCGATCTGTTCCTTCTCTTTTTTAGGTTTACTTCCTTTAGTAAATGTACAATCATACACTTCTCAGGAAGTGGAGAAGCGGTCGATCAAAGAGCTGCCATAAAAGAGGTACGTTTGCACACAAAAACTTTCTGAGGCATCTGATAGCATGAGGAAGTTGACCTGGAGTTGAAAAAAAACTAAAAAACCTAAATACACTGTTTCTTAACTCCCGATTCATAATTGACTAAGTTTTTTTAAGCTGAAGCCCACAACGTTCAACAACTCGCGGAGCACCTTATCATGTCGTTTACACCCAGCAGAGCCTTGATTCGTTACGGTAGCCTAAAGCCAACGTTCAACAATGAGTGTCTTGCGCTAACCACGTCTAAGTATCACTATTATTCGAACGAAATTTAATTGTTTTTGTCCAATTTGAATAGTTTCACCTGATAACATTCAACAACAACAACAGCAGCAAAACTGTAGTATTTTCTGTGCACAGGCGCATCTGACTGATTCTGATGACGCAATTTATTGCCCCCGGAAAATGATCAAAGCACAAATTCGAATGCAGCAAAACCAGGACAAATCACCCTTGTGCTGTGCAAACCAAGCTAGGTCAAAAAAGCCGTGTTTCTCACGTAGTCTGCAAGTAACTGAAGCTTGACATTTCACATCATAGAGCACAGCAATCACCTTTGGCCTTTAACAGAGAGAAGACAATCGTTCACACTGAGTATTTACATTTTAAGTAGAAAAAGCAACACAAACTCAGTGCATTTGTCGCCAAAGCGGTTCTGTAACGTTGCTAGACTTACTTCATATACCTCGTTCAAATGATTGGATCTAAGATAATGCTGTAGATGCTGATCTCCTCGATTTTGTGGCATTATGTCTGAAACGAAAAAATTGGGCTGGTCACAAATGGAACCATACAACTCCCGCCCCCCGCAAACCCACCTCCATCCTCCTCACCAAAAAGGTTTTGCCCTCTTTACTTCAACTCTTCAGTTTGAGAATAAATACCAGTTGGTATATAGAGATATATTAAGTGACTGCGTACACATTCATTGGTACCGAAAACCAAAATCCTATGCTCACACCGATCTTGGCAATGGGTTGACCAAACCCGATTCGATCTCCTCAAAGACCGTGTGTGCATCTAGGTTAGCGTGTACGTGAATCAGCACGGGCTCATAATATTCATACAACTCGTCCCGATGTGCCGCAAAGCGAGCCAGTTTAGACGCGACCACACAATCCACATCTTGTGGATGCTGTAAACTTCGATCCGATATATCCGATTCCTCTTTTGGTCGATAAGCCACGTGAAATCGGACACCGGTGACTGGATCAATTCGACGTCCAGTAATCCGTTCAGCCGCACACACTTGGGCAATATTCATTCCGACCACCCGGTTTGGAGCCAATCCTTCGGCGTCCAGCATTTCAGCTTGTTGTCTTGTCCTCGGATAGCCGTGCAATATCCAACCGCGGGTAGTACAGTCTGGCTGGGTCAAACGACCTTTGATCACTTCGATCAGAATCGCATCGGGAACTAAACAAAGAGGGTGGGGATCAATCACGAGAACAGGAGAATAGAACAAAGGAGTAAGAGTAATTATGAGACAAATTGTTAGGCGCTATTTTTAAAATTACACATTGGTGAAGTGTTATTGGTCAATCTATTATATATTTAGTATAGTTATATTTATTAGACACACAACAAATCAATAATACAATAAATATTAATTGTTCTAAGTTGGAGGTAGAAAACAAAATTTACCACATTTGTTCAATTTTGGTTTTATGAATCATTGGCAAAACTGAGAGCGGGAGCATGGTTGGTCATAGATCAATCGTTTCACCATGTTTCTCCTTCACGTTTGGGTTAACTTTTATTGCGCTAGATGGTTTGAAATTTAGAACATTAACATGATTTCCAGAGATGCATTAGTTCAGCTTCATTTACCAAAAAAGCTTCGGAAGTACTAAACAACCTTCACAACCGGTGTATCAAGAATTGTCGATAGGGTGTATCGACTCACTGTCACATTCCAAGCTTGTGCACAAAAAATGGTTACTCGGACATCACATACTAATTGGGTCATTGAAATGGTTCAGTTCAGTCTCAGTTTGTACAACCATTAACCATGCACTTTCGTGCGCCGGTTTTGGTTGATGTCTTTTGGTTGCCCATTTGGATAAAAAAGCAGAAAGAATAATGGAATGTTGAAGGCAGATTCCAAGCGGAAGATAGCAAATTTACATAGACTGAAGTTACAAGAATAATGAGTAGATGAATGAGCGCCACTGTTTTCGATACTCAGCCATATCACTCAGTGTCTCTAACCATCGGTGACCATGATCTCACGGTCCCAAGCCAGGGAGCATAACGGGACCTATGTGACCTAGTGTCTTGTTCAGGGTTTTCATACCCTCATGCCAGGTGGTAGTTTGACTTCCCTTACATTTTTATCAACCGCTACTTGTCTCGGCAAACATAGCTCGCCGTGACAACCTATCCGGCGGCATGCGTGTCACATGTCCCAACCAGCGTAATCAATGGGGGTCGACTACCGGTTCCAGTGAACGATTGTGATTTCCTAAAACTCTACGCTCAACGTCAGCATTGTTCGTCCAGTTTCCCCACCAGACTCCTGCAATGCGATGTAGACGGCGTTGTTCAAACACCGACAGTCTACTTTTATCCTTTTCCCGTAATGGCCAAGTCTCTGCGCCGTAGAGTAGGACTGGTCGAACTGCTGCAGCATATACTAAATAGGTTTTATTAACTTGCCTGACGTCAACAGTCTATGTATTAACACGCTTTGGACCGCGTAGTTTGGTGCACCCTATTCTATCAGCGAACGTTCAAATTCTGGCGGTTCTTTATGTATGTTAAAATAAAAATAAGTTTTGAGCATAGGGCCTTGGCTGCATTAGAATACAATTGATGCATCCTTCGTAGATTAGTAATCTTAAAAGATTTCTCCATAAGTAATCATCTGAGATATTCAAGGAGACTTCTTTAATTCAACCGCAGGGTAAACGCTAGAAGAACAGCAAATTTCTTTCTCACTCCGGAGGGGCACGACACATCCGAGTTTATCTGACTTGGGGAACTTTAGCTATATGGGCATTGTACGCGTTCGTTGTCAGATGTCAGTTTCAGGCAATAAACATACGAAAGTCCCTCAAGGTTTTCTGAATGGTAGTTGAATCTTTAGAGGACGAATAACATCAAAATTGTTGAGCCCAGTGAGTTACACATACACGAAACCAGGGATAAGTTAATTGCCTCGACAGTGACCGTTAGTGATTAGGGTGCGGCATGTATTAGAGAAAACTGGCAAATTCTGTTGGACAGTTAGATTTGAGAAAGTATAATTTTCGTTTGTGAAACCGTTATTTTCAATTGAGAAATCATCACTTGGACTTGAGAAAACAACGATGTGGATGGTTGGATCTGCTTCCTTTCAACGCACCTCATTGGTCAATTGATCACACATGTTTCTATCCCCGAATTGACCACCTGTCTTCCCAAACTCTTTATGTGTTGAAATGCGGCAGACCTCGGTCGTGCATCTTGTCGAGGCATGTGAACTGACACCAGTCAGGGAAATAGTTTTGCATCTAGTTCAGTAGAGGTAGCTCAGAATCTTGAGTTATATGGACCATGGGGTATTAGGTCGAGATTTTCCCTTTTCTTCCTTTGGTATTGAAGTGATGCGGACATTACATCGTTCATCAGCTAGTCTACCTGACTGACTGTAAATGACCTTATCAACAAATCCAATATAAAAATTGCTGATGTTCATTTCCGTCGAACTATCCTAATTCTGCCGGGATATCACAGTTTATTATAAGAGTCCCCACAGTCGTCATGAATTTTGAGCTCAGTCTGCTTGCTCATCGCAACCTTGTGAAAAATATTTATATCTATACTTTCACACACGTCTGAACCCAGACTGTGGGTCAAACAAATCATGGTACAATAATCTTTATAAAAAAAGAAAGACGTTCCATGATTTCCATGTAGGTTGGATACTGCCAGGTTGCCCAGGCCAAGCCAGGTAAATTTTCTTTAGGGATCCACTACCAGAGCCTTCGGCTAGTCAAAGCCTGACCCGCAGGACATAGGGACGGTGTGCGAAAACCGCAAACCATTGGGGGCCGGTTCATTGGATCATACGCCATTTGGACGAGATCAAGCGTCCAAGTTACCCAATACACCTCGATCGCCAAATGAGCCGGTGACCACTGCTAAAACCAGGAAGTTGTGTGTGGCTCGTACTCCTCCTCGTGGTTGGTTTGGAATCAACTCCCCTAGAAGAACTATCAGTGGTCCACCAACCCGGTTATAGTCCCGGTTGTCGGCTTTTCGTCCTCTTACTTTGGTGAGAAAACACCGCCATGAGAACGCAGTGAGTAGGGCTTCCTCAGCAGAGGCTATTTGAGACGCTTGGTAGTATGGGAGCATTTCGCAAGGCGCGAGGGAAGGTTCACCAGCCGCAACCCTAGACATCCACCCCAGACTATGCCGAGGCTTTCGGAGGCACCTTGTGAAAAAACGTCCACTGTATCTTAATGTCATTCGTCGATGTTTCTCACACAACAATACTTATTCTGAAAACGAGTAAGCCTTTGTACTAAACAGATCGACTGCGTTCTGTTTCATTCAGTTCTGTGGACGGAGCCAGGAATGGGCGAGCTACACTTTAGGTGTAACTGGTTTTGGTTGCTAGGTAATTGATGACAACCAGCCCATTCACCCAAGTTCACCTCGAGAACTCCAACCTCTGTCACTGAACAAATATTGTATTTCAAATAGACCCATGATACTCGTAATGAAAACAACATCGCTCGGATTGCACCGTAAGCACAAAACTCGTACCTGGTCGTAGCTACTGTGGTTAGCTTTGGTTGTTGAAACAGTGCGTCACCCTTCATGCTTATTGAGCGGCGACCAGCTTGGTTTTCACATGCAAGATGCACGACTGAGGTCTGCCTCATTTCAACACAGAAAGAGTTTGGGAAGACAGGTGGTCAATCCGGGGGTAGAAAAATGTGTAATCAATTGACCAATGAGGTGCGCTGAAAGGAAGCAGATCCAACCATATCGTTTCTTTCTCAATTCCAAGTGATGATTTCTCAATTGAAAATGACGGTTTCGCAAATGAAAATTATACTTTCTCAAATCTAACTTAAAATGGTACAGGTGAACTCCATGCAAAAGCCGCTAGCTCCAGTGCTCAGAAGTAAAAAAGAAAACATGGATGAAATGGAAGTACGAAACCTGTATCAAGTCTATGTGTGACTTTATTATTATTGTATTGATATATAGATTCTGTTTTTTTTTTACTGTGGCTTTATCATTTTACAACTGACGCACCAGGAACCTTCGTCAAAACCGAGTAATCGTACATTCCATTAATAGAAGTAAATGCATAAGTGGATGTTATATCAGATATTTTGCGTCTGATGTGGGGTAATTTCATATTCAATCCCGTGAATGAGGTTTAAAAAACTGAGCGTTGGGAAAAACAAATGTAATGAAAGTATATATATATATATATATATATATCCAGTCCATCAACATCTCATAAATGCGTTTCACTCACCGGGAATTTTCTTCGCCACATAACTTTTCATTGCTTTGCCCAGCAATGAACCATTTTGGATCTCCGTTTTAATCAATAGTCCACAATCGATCGGTATTAGGCCATATTTTTGAGCCAATAGTTTCGCCTGTGTTTTTCGACCAGATCCGGTAAAGCCTAACAGAATGATCCTGGGTGTACGCAAACCGAGATCTCTGGCTGGTTGTGTCACCCACGATAGAATAGTGGTGAACACGTCCGATACAGGTTGATCACAATTCACATCCCATGCCACGGGAGCGTAAATCTGTCGGAGTAGAACCCCGTCCCGTTCGAATTGTTCTATCAAACGTTTTGTCTTTTCCGGGGAAAAGTCTGGCAACGGGATCAGTCGTCTTTCAGTTTGCACATCCGGTGGTGGTTTGGTGACCAGGTGATAGAGTTCTACCACAGATACAATGTGAACAACAATGCAACGGACTGACATACCATTTGTGACCGGATCCAGACGTTTTCCTCCGGTTCGCTCGATCAGAACATCCATAGGTGCTCGTAAAAATACTGTCCGGTCACGATGCATGGAATAATGAACTGAACTTACTTGCATAATCTGGGAAAATTCCTTCCCAACGCATGGCTTTTGCTTGAGCCTCATTTTGGGGAAACCCGACTAGAATGTAACCTTTAGACGAACAGTCTGGCAATTTTAGACGCTGTTTCAATGCCTCGGTCAGTTCCTTTGCACCAGTCTGCTAGATGAAAGAAATAAAGTTTTATCTCTTGGTTTACTCAGCTACCTAGGACAGTCTGATCATATCAAATCATTTACCGTTCGAGATATGCTCTACCCCAAACCCTTTAGAGACTTTCAGCATTATCTCAATTGTAGAGTGTGAAAAGCCATAAAATTGCACAATGTATGGGGACCCCGGGATGATCGTAACCGATGATTAGAGACAATGAGTGATATGGCTGAGTGTCGTAAACAGTGGCGTTCGTGCATCTTTTTCATTTCTCTGCAACAATAATCCACCAAAATTCTAAATTTTCTCTTTCTCCTACTTTCAACCTTTCTTGTCTTTCTCCTAATGTTCATCTTAATGGGCAGCCAAAAGACAGCAACCAAAACCGACGCACGATAGTTCATGGTTAATGATTGTACAAACTGAACTGAATTAAATGCTGTAACTTTTATCTGGGCTGTGTCCAAGGGTAACGGCCGCATTTTTCTCTATTGAAATCCCTAAATGTCTGATGTAGTATGTTTGATATTCTTGAATAATTTCGGTATCTAAGAAATGACTAGTTCAATGACTACTGTCAACTGAGACGTCGCATTACCGAGTTACGAAACATTTATAGTTTTATCTTTAGAATGAATAGTTGATTAAAATTTACTCAGCCCGTTCAACTCTCCACTCGTTATGTATGAGGTAGTTTTAATCCATGTTTACAAGAACTAAATATTCTAATCGAGATGAACCGGTAATCTAAACCCTGGTGTTTAGAATATCTGATTGAACAGGACTAAAAACGTATTGAATGCGTACTAGATGCCCTTCAGAACGAGAAAAAAGTAAACCACTTCCGTGATTATATAGAATCGTTAAAATACCTTGATGAAATACTAGAAAAGCCGGAATATTCATGCCACCTGGAACGGCTAAACGGTCACTTTGCCTATTTTTTCAATTAATCGCTCGTATTTCCCAATAGTTTCGTGCCGTCAGGTGGTCTAAATCGGTTTCCCTTCTATGTTTGCATGCGAATGAAACAACGACTGCACTTCTAACCTCCGCAGTCGTGCAAAAATGGGATCGGAATAATTCCTCAATAAAAATTGGCAAAAATGGGTCTTTTTAATGGCAGCTCTGTCTGCACAGTAGGACGGTTGACCGTTCTATTTGAGTCCCGCCGGGACTCGCCCATCAGAACCGTCCCATTGGAGTTCTATTTGAGTCTCGTCGGGACTGTACATACTCAATTTTATGTAATACGAAAATTGCTACGAAAAAATTACTGGAGAGAAAAATTAAATATTAAAGACCATTAAAATTGTGTGCTTTATTACCGGTTAAATCAGCTCGCAGTTTGTTTAAATGTACTAATTTCACATGCGTATGTTCAGCGGCACTCGCCATTACTTGCCATGTCAGATTTCAATCCCCGTGGTTATTCAAGGTGGTCAATATGTTAAATCAATTCTATCAACAACGTTTTTATCAGTCATTGAACAAGAGACAGCAAAGTGTGGAGATAGGTCACCCGTAAATCATTCCGGCAGTTTTATGGGCAACAATTATCATTTCGTGCGTTATTTATAATAGTCAACCAACTGGTTTCCCACAAAGACGCTTGGATGTTTATAAACGCTAGTAATTGTGAAATGTAATTTGCGAATGAGTCTGATGACTGTAAGTTCAATTTTTGTATTGTATTGTATTGTGTATTGTGTATAACTTTTGCAAGCACTGGAGCTCACATTTAAATTAAAAAGTCATACACGCCAGCCGTCACAATGTACATAATCAACGGGGAGAAAAGTTTTCGCAGGCATGGGGATATTCATAATCCAATGTTAAGACAAAGTTCACTCATTGTTCGCTCTTTTGTTACCAGTAGACGAGCAAGATACGGTATGGGTGAATTGCGGTATGCATTAATTCGAGATGAAATTTGGCGGAATCGGGAGCGTGTTGAATGATGGGAATGACACAGTGTATTAGGAATAAATTATTTTTGACGCTGTCCTAGGTGCGGCTGAAATCCATGTTAGTGACCTACAATGTGGTCGGTAAGCATGCTGTATTATATAACTGTGTACCAATATGTAGATTGTACTATGAAAAAGAACTTTCCGAGTGAAACTTACGTCAAAGTACGTGAGCGAATACAAAGATGGATTCAGAAGGCCAGGGAAAAGACACACGGAAGACAGTACAACAAAGAAAACCAATCCGAAGTTTTGTCTGAAGGCCACTAAACAAAATCTGTACAGCTTTCTTGTCAAATACACATTTAAATGTGCCCTATGTATTACTTCTTGTATTGAAATAGGGGGTTCTGTTTGTAAACGCCATACTTAGATTTCTTTATTTAACGATTAGGATGATGCATGATAAGCTAATGTTGGTAGGAATTGCACTTAGATATATCACGCAGTTTTAAAAAAAATGTTATTTAGTCTTAATAATAAGTGAGCATGCGCGAAATGGGCACAATGTAATCAACGCCTAATAGAACGTAAGGAAGTCCTTCCGGGAGCCGTCCCATAGAGCCCCATTCGAGTCCCATTGGGGGGAGTCCTATTGGAGTTCCGTTTTGGGTGCAAACGGACTGTAATGGGACTCCCATGGGACTCGAATAGGACTTGAATCGGACAGTGGTGCAGACTGGGAGTGAACATAGTGTTGAAAACAAAACGAGCACCCTATCAAAGCTACATTGCGGCATAATGGCAAAACTAAAGTATGCACAGTTTTTTTGTTCAATGCTATTATGGGATCTGATCAAAATTGAGAGTGCGCATTGGCGGTTACAGTGATCATAACGTAAAGTATCGCCTTTGTTTGACCCCATACACAATGAATTAACTGACCCTTACGAAGCTAACTTTAGAGTACGTTAAAGGATAACAAATGCATACAAGACTAGTGCGTGTTTAAAAGTAAATCACTGATCACTCGGTTCCATAGAAGTTGATTTGTGAAACACGTACTTTCTTTGCTGAATGTGAGCAACACGTTCCAAAATGCCCCGTTACACGAAAAGCCGGTCACCCTTGCCTTGTTATTTCAGTCACAGGTTCCACATTTTACCCTCGAGTATACTGCAACCGGATGAATGGTCAAGAAAATAGTCAGTAGCTCGTTGTATTCGAAATCATCCTTGGTGAAACGCAATAGATTCATTGGTAAACATTTTAACGGATTAAGTGTACAGGTGGTCTTCTTTTTCTATTTATGTAAAAACGTTTGAGTTAGCAGTTAAACCGACGCAAAATTTTGATAGGACCATCTGTANGGTATGGTATGATAAATGCTTCATGTTATTTCATTTTTCCTTGATCGCAATACCGAATGTAGCTCGCCTTCCGCAATTTGAGTCGCATAAGCGCAGATTTTTGACTTTCCAATATCTCATGGTGGAGTGAAATAGTTTGGTGCAAGTATCCGAAACAAACGTGCAAGATAATTCACTTGTGAGAGGTAGAAGAGCTTCGAAATCTTAGAATANNCACACACATCCATTGTACTTCTTGAGCACATGAATGGTTGTGGTTTCTAGGCCTCTGACGAAATTGAAAGGTCTAGTCATCACAACTACAACCTTATCATCGAGTACGAGCGATACACCTCTGTCAGGGGAAGCCTAACCTTCCACTGATAATTCTCCCTGTTTGCATGTGAAATGGATTGGGATAAGCCATCACTATGAGAACATGTCTGTCGAGGGTCCTGAAAGCGTAGTTGTTCCCTTTTTCCATCGTCGCCATCATATTCCCAATTTCGAACAAACGACTAGATTGTGATCCACTCCATATAGATCGTACGTTTCTCCCTCTATCAATCCACGTTTGGCTGACTACCAATAAAGTCTTGCAATGTTTGCAGCTGTCCTTTTTGCTGGGATTGTCGAGATAGGAATCGTGGGGCCAGGTTCGGTGGTAGCGTTGGATTGCCAAGGCTACGATACACAAAAAAATGGCGACAGGAAAATCTGAAATTTCAATGGATTTTTCGGCATATCAGTTACAGAGTCTATTAACGCTGCAACAGAAGCAGATGGAAGCACAAGTGAAACTGATCAAATCCTTGACGCAGCGGATCAACCTGAAAATAACAGATTCACTTTCACTTAAGTTTCAGTCCAGCTCCACTGAATCGCTTGTTAATTCAACCACTGAATTAAAATATGATCCTGAGGTAGACCAATTTTTCAAACGATCGGGAAGCGTGTTCCATATAGTGAAAAATGCGTCAGGAATTGAGCTGAAATTGACTGGTGAAATCAACTGTGGCATTCCGTTACCATGCATTATCATGAAAGAATCTGACCGATTGGTCCAACCTGAGTCTGTTTGGTCTTAATTAGATTGTTTGATGTTCCAGTGAACGAGGTATGTCAGCAAGTCCAAATATAGAACAGTCCTACATCCTCGATTGCAGACATGATATAGTCACTAAAACGGAACTTTGCATTTGTATCCCAGGAAAGCCGAGGTCTTTGCACAAAGTTTCGTGCCTCACTTTCACTGAACCTAGATTCCTAGCCGGCGTTTAATTCCAAACGCCTTGGTACATTACACCGCCATCTGGTTTGTGGACGCTTAACTAAACTAACTGCATCAATTCAGTTTCATCAAACTGGTCTATTACTTATCATGGGCAGCTTTAATTGTGGTCATCAAGAGATTCAGTGGCAAGGTGCGCATTTGTGAAGATTTCTCAACGAGTCTAGGCACCTCAATAGGACACCATCAACATTCACTTTCGATACCAGAAGATAGCTCACAAAATGAATGGTGATCCTTGCTTTGTAAAAATGAATTGTTCGATGCAAATCGCCAAGTGACCGTTACTGATGACTAAACAAAGCTACTGACAAAGCATTCTCATCGCAACTTGATTCCAGTAAAATTGTGTCTTTCGGTGTCGAATCTGCACCTGAAATAATTCGGAAGCTGATGGACATGATGTTGGCCGGTATCACGGGCACTGCAACTTACTTGGATAAGTTCATTGTTATGGGTCGAACAAAAGGAGAGCGTGTTAGCCGCTTGAACTCAGTATTAAAACGAATTCAAGATTATGGCTTCGGAATTGTGAAGAACAAGCATGACTAATTTATGCCTTCTATCAAGTATCTCGGCTTCATTCTGGATAATGATAACATCCGACCTGATCCAGAAAACATTGAAGCCATTCAGAATATGCCCCTATCAAAGGATCTGGGTCCAATTGGATCATCATTCAGCCTCTTAAGTCACAACGTTTCTTCCTCATATACAATTGCATCTGAGCTCCAATGAACCAACTTCTAGCCAAAGATCAACCATAGAATCGGTCGGCGGAATGCCGGAACGCCTTCAATTGTGTCAAACTAATGCTCAACGCGGACAGACTTCTGATACGCTGGTTGGGACATGTGCTACGCATGTCACCATATAGGTTGCCAAGGCTGGTAGCGATTGGAAAAAAACAAAGGGCGGTCAAGCTAAGACCTGGCATGAGGGTATGAAAACCCTAACCAGGAGACTAGGTCACATAGGCCCCGTTAGGCTCCCTGGCTGGGAACCTCGGGATGATGGTCACCGATGGTCAGCTACACTGAGTGATATGGTTGGGTGTCGCAAACAGTGGCACTCGTGCATCCACTCGTTATTTTCCTAACACCACTCTATATGTATTCCCCATCTTCCGCTTGAATTTGCTTCAACATTCCAATTTTCATTTCGCTCTTTTATCCAAATGGGCAACCAAAAGACAGCAACCAAAACCGGCGCACGAAAGTGCATGGTTAATGGTTGTAACAACTGAACTGAACTGAACATTTCGATCAGGCACTTGATATAATCGTGGCCGCCGATGCTTCAGACAGCGGAGTTGGTGTGGTCATCTCTCACACATTTCCCGACGGATCACAGAAGGCCGTTTCACATGCGGTCAGATCGTTAACTGCAATAGAGCGCGACTACAGTCAACTGGAAAAAGAAGCGCTATTATCTTCACTTTGAAGAAGTTTTTATGAAAAGTTCTATGGTTGAAAATTCACACATCTCACTAACCACAAGCCGCTGATCGCAATTTTCAGCTAAATTCCAGCCTATCCCAGTGTACATTGCCAACCACCTTCAACGCTGAGCAATCAATCTTCTAGGCTACGGTTTGGGATCCGCTATCAGTCGTTAACATCCGTTAGCCAAGAAGATTTGTTGTTAAGGCTTGTAAATTCTCAAAGACCAGAGCCGGAAGAAAGTGTCATTGGTTCCATATCGGTAAAACCAGACGTCAAATTTCTCGTTCCCAAGTTTCTACAGGATACAACAATGACAGCTGATGAAGTTCGGGAGTAACCGCGCCACGACCCACTGCCCAAAAAGATCGTACAATTCTCGCACAGGCGCTAGCCAAAATCATGCGAATCCAAAGAATTACACCAATTCTTTCGATGCAAAGATTCGTTTTCGATTGCGGACAGCTGTATTTTATTCACCGAAAGACTTGTGATTCCAAAGATGCTACGAAAAAGAGTCCATGCCAGACAGCCGGCAAGGAAATCACTCGTCCGCAGTTATTTCGATTTGCCATGCATGGATGAATAGCATAAAGAACTCGTTCAAAGCTGTCACCAATGCGTCTTTGCGTACAGGATATCAATAAACATCTAGCTTTGCAGTTGATCAATGCCTGACAAACACCGGTCGGGCATTCACGTCAGCTTTGCAGGACCAATCAATAGTCAATCTTACCTTATCGTTCATTCCGAAAATGAACCGAGATTTTCTTTATGATTAGCCTTACGTCAGTCTGAATAACCGATCGTTTTGGTATCCCTGGAACTTTAGTCAGCGACAATGACACCCAGTTCACACCACGGCAATTTATGGAATTCTGCAAGCAGGAAGGTGTCAACCACATCCGCATCCGCAATCGAAAGGTCAAGTGAACGGATTTGGGGATACCTTCAAGCGGACACTCCAGAAGTCAAGAGGGGAGGGTTCAACTGCAGAAGCCGTCGAACGGTTTCTGTTTCTGTATGGGCGCACTCCGAACTCGAACTAGCCCAATGGAATTTCCTTAACAGAGGTGATGATGGACAGGAAGTTACGAACACCGTTTGATTTGTTGCGCCTAGCCAACAATAACACTGAAAGGAACCAGGATTACTTAAGATAATTCAGGCAGAGTAGTGCAACGTTCCTTCGCCCCATGTTAATCAAGGTTAACCGACTCTAGGGAAGCTACGGTGACTGGCAGAATCCTGCAAAGACGAGGCGATGTACTGTGTGTGGTACAGGATGAGTTCAAAGTCTGTTTGCTTAGAGCAAATCAGTTAGGACCAACAAAATGCTGCGAAGAAAGAATTCAAAGTAAACAACTATACATTAACATGTTGAAAAAAGTCAGTCTGCCAAGGTCATCACAGTCAGGTGCAGTACGACAGAAAATGCCAAACTCAAACAGGTCAATTTTGGCAACACAACCTACAAACAGGAACCCAGTTAACACCAAGATTCGTTCAGTTCAGTTTTTACAACCATTAATCATGCACTTTCGTGTGCCGGTTTTGGTTGCTGTCTTTTGGTGTCCCATTTGGATGAAAAGTAGAAAGAAGAATGGAATGTTGAAATCAAATTCAAGTGGAAGATGGAAAATTCATATACAGTGGTGTTAGGAGAATAATGAATAGATGCACGAGCGCCACTGTTTGTGATACGCAGTCGTATTGTTCAGTGTCTCCAACCGTCGGTGACCATCATCCCGAGATCCCCAGCCAGGAAGCCTAACGGGGCCTATGTGACCTAGTCTCCTGGTTAATACCCTCATGTAGACTACCGTAGTTGCGTTTTGATTTTTTAGACGTAAATCTCATTTATTATTCACAAATACTACTCGAATATATAATAGTGTTACGCTACGAATTTAGGGGCGTTGATAAGCCTTCCAGCAAAAGCAGAGAAATAATAGGTACAGTGCAATAAATTGCATGGTTAGGTAGTGACCAGAGATACGGTGCTTTTTCTAGCATTGTAGTGGTCGAGTTGTAGCGATTCAGTCAAAAAAGACACGGGATTATCTAAATTAATAGCGATCCAGACCACCGTTTTGTAGCAAATTGGTAGCGGTAAACCGTCAATGCAGTAGTGGTAGTAGTAGTAGTAGTAGTAGTAGTAGTAGTAGTAGTAGTAGTAATTTTGCTACCAGAGAAACGTACACAAATCACGAAACTACAAGTCAACCTCCAAATGCGAACGTACATCTGAAAAGGGAGGTATCAGGGAGACCCCGATCAGTGTTCATATTACTCCGTCTTCTGGTGTCCCATTTTGAACTCAAACATACAACATACAACTCCTTACGAACTCATTTCCAAGAATCTTCTTCCGTGACCTTGTAGAGGGGGCTACGTAGCAACACTGGTACACCTTTTGTCTATGAGTCGTCTATGACTCAAAAGGTGCTGTTGTTATACCAAACACATATTATCTGTTCATGTTCAACCGCGGAATTGTCACTTGTCCCAATGAGTCAGGTTGGCTCACTATATATGTAAACCTTTCCCTGCAGATCTCACTATAAAACTGGTCACTCGTGTTCGTCTTCTTCCAGTACAGAGTAATAGTTATATTGTTCTTTATCGTAATCACGATTGTTGACGTACAATGTGCATATTTATCGTAGATAGCCTGCAATATCTAAACCCAGACGGACCTGTGTGCACACATGTATACAAGTGCATAAACATTCAACTATATTTATACACTATATCTACGCTCACTCGCGCCAAACTTTGGACTCGCATTGACACGAGCTGCAAGTCTGATCTAGATCAGATCAAATCAGCTGATCTGATCTGATTTGAGGTTATTAAGGGATGTACTGCGTAGTCAGTAGTTAAATAGGTGATAATTAATTTAATTTTAAGTAGACCTAAGACCGTTGTTTCGGGGGATTCATGAGAAAACACACAAAGGCCTTCTGCACCCGACATTATATGCGGCAAATTTCGAACCAAAAGTACTCGTTGTGTAAAGCATTATTTAGCGCGGTAACGCGCCAAATAATTATCAGCGCGTTTGTGCGGAAATCTCCGCACAAAAAGGGGCATCCCAATACAAGCCGTCAACTTATCGATAGCAAAATTCAAAGATGGATACAACGGAATCGTCCACGATCAGTTGTCGCCGATACACAATCTTTTTAATATATGCACCATTCACAAGTGAGAATAGAGCAGAACAAATCATTGCTGTGTATTATCTAACTTGCAAAATTCCAATCTGTTTATTGTTAACATTTTCAACCTATTTTTTCATCACAGATGACGCACAATAAAACCAAAAACCAACTGGAGAAAGAAGCCTTTAATTTTTGTTCATGTTTTTCAAATTCTTTTAATAATGCCTATATCATATATCGACATACTAAGTTTTGTTTTAACAAAAGCTGGGAAAATGAGTGCCCAAAATGCGCAATAGCAGTAGGTAACGTGTGTCAAATTGGTTTGATCGTATTCCGGAAGCGTTATCCAATCGTGTTTCGTTAGTACAAGTAAATGCTACGGTAGCAAAAGAACACAAATACGCAGGGTGACTTTTGAGTATACCATCAGTGTTTCCTTTTTCGTTTAAATCTAGAGTCCCGGGGACGTTCAAACGGACACTCGGCTCATGGGCGAGTGTCCCACTCAACGTTTCAAAAGGGGATATACCTTGGTGGCTTATAGCGGTACACTCAGGGGATGCCCAGGGAACTGCCAGGGGGATACTCGTGCAGTATGGGAAGGCTGTACACTATGTATAGTGCTGCCTGTATATTATTACTATATATAGTATGGTGTAAATTGTAGATATATAGTGTACACTATACTACAGTATATATAGCGATTCTATTACAGAAAAATATTTCAATAACATTGGTGGACAATCCGCTGGAGATTGCACTCGGGCAATCTTGAAATTTATCTTTGTGGGATTCTGCTCATTCATGTCAACTGGTGAGGTGTCAATGGGAGGTTGGCACTGGCTAACAGTAAGCTATGCCAGTCAATAATCAAGATTGCCTGGTGCCTCTGAATCGAATGGGCTAATCCAAGCTTGATACTCTAATAATCGGTAATTTTTAAATAAACTGTGAAATATATAAACTTCAATTAAAGATTCCGTTCTCCAGAAGAATTATCCAAATGCAGAAACTATTTCCATAATAGGAAAACTCCAACGTAGAATAAAAAGAACAAGACCTAGGGGTGCACGTGAACCTTTGGACGTCACGTGTCTTTGCCACTTTTTAATAGTAGGTTTTTGCGAACCAGTTTGTATTTTCGTATTTTAAATATTAACTAACTTCGTTTTAACTTAATGATATTCTAAATCTCATTGTGTTTCTATTTCAGATGGCGATAAGAAAAATGAAGACCCATAAGATAATAACCCGTTTGATTTATTACCTTTATCAAGTTCAGTTATAGTGATAAATAAACTTTGTATTATTTCCAATATGGTGTTATTTGTGTACGACTGTTGGGTGCCTTTTACTGTGATAGTTGAAAGCGCTAGACGTATTTTTTTGCTTTGCAGGTTGTTTCGAATAATTAGTATAAAACAGGTGGAATGGCTTCAAATTGATATTATGCTACAATTGTCCCATATGTTTATGGGTTTAACTTCCGAGGAGTCTCTTACCCCCCCTTCCCTGTATTGCAGAGGGAATGTGATATTGATGGTCGTGAGATTGTTCTTCCTAGTCGTTCGACTCCTCATACGGCTAGCACGTAATTTTCGATATATTATGTATGTATATATAAACCAGGTGTTATTGCAGCTGCAACATGTCAGATGTAGATTAAACTGACATTTCTCCTGTGATCGAAGTTCAAAGTACGACCACTAATGAATTTGGTCACTTTACCCTGCGCCTTGCGCAGGGTAACTGTATGTACTTTTATAAAACATCTAAATAGAGGAACTGTGTGCTCCTAATGGTTTTGATCAATCACTTTCAGTACCAGCCGAAATAATGGATCAGTTTGGTTAGTATTCACGTTCAAGTTAAATAACTGTCTATAGAGAGGTTAGAGAAACCAAGACCATCGGTTGTTGCTAGACGAGTAGCTTCGAAGGCCCGCCTATTGTTGAGAGCTGTGAAAATCATGCTGCATGAATTTTCATCTATATTACCAGAGCTACTTTCAGATCCCCGGACATTACTGTCTACTACAAGCTGCATACCGAAAACCACCGTTGGGGATGGCACTTATATTCATTTTGGAGTCTTCAATTACATTCGAAGTGTGACTGATAGTTTATTATGAAACCATGAAAATGCACTGCATCTTCAAATTTATATTGATGGACTATCTGTGTTCCGCGGGTAGACGCAACAGATTTGGCCAATTCTTGGTCGATTGTTTAACCGGAGGTCTAGTATCTTCATCGTTGGACTATATAGTGGTATGTATAAACCCACTGAGGTGCATGCATTTTTGTTCAAGTTAATTGAGGATCTCTGAGTGCTTCTTCGTGATGGGCTTTCAATGTGGACACGGGAAACACTCATCACGTTGAGTTACACAGTGTCATTGCTGACGCTCTTACAAAAGCCCCAGTGAAGCAAATCAAACAGCATAGTGAATACTATTGCTTTCCTAATTGTACTCAGAAAGCTGTCTCCATCAAAGAACTCTTAGCTTTCCAAACAAATGTTGGTAAGCCGCGGACTGATTGGGAGTTTCGTGCGCATATACATCAGGATTATCACA